TTAAGTGAAAGCTTTTAGCAGGAATAGCTATGCATACAGAAACAAATTCAGGTTTTGAGAGTTCTACCTAAAATTTCTGTTTGCTTCCACAACAGCTGTAAGGATGAAATAAACAGAATAGTCTGACAGGAACCATATGCCCTTTCTCATGTTAGAGCTGTAACGATCAACTTGTTGTACATTATTGCACTCGCAATGAAATGTTTGTAAGCTACGTAATAAAGGCATTTGGCAGTTAGACTCTCAGATACTGAAGAACTCAAGCTGCATTTAATAGGAAATCTTTCAAACAGTCAGCTTGGGTCATAAGGGAAATTGTAATATAAGAAAGGTAAGCATAATGTTAATCAATAATCTATTGTAACTTCCTCTGAGGTATGTAACCAATTGGTTTGGTTTATGAATACACATAACCTGTGTCTGGAAATAATCCCCTAAATGTCTCTTATTTAAATGGAGAGGAAACTTATTTGTGGGGAAACTGCCTGGAATGGTTGTTCATTGCTTCTCTAGTATTTGATCAGGGTTTTGCAGAAATACACTTTTACACTTTGCTTTTTTAAATACATGGCAACAGAAAATATTGTGTATGTGAATGACTTTTTATGTGATTTCTTTAAAAGAACAAGTCCTACTTGTAAAGAAGTAAATCTGGCAAGTAAGGGCTAAGTTGTGGTACAGTAAATGACTCTAGCTTTTTGAAAATGAATACCTAGAGACAATAGCAGCATTAGAATAAGCCCCCTATTCTACAGTTATAATAAGCTTAAAAATGCTACCGCAGCCCTTGACAACACACACCTTCTTAGTGTTGAGCTTCTAATGTAATTTATATGACTGTCAGATCTGACTTTTAAGAAATTAAGTAGTGGCAAGTATAGCAAATTCTGACTTCGTTGGCATGTATATAAGCCCATTCCTCAGCTTGATGACCTGTTGCAAAATCTGAGAAGTTTTATATTTGAATACTTACAGGATATCAGTAAAGGAGCAGAGTTCTACTTTAGCTTTCCAAAACTGAGAGAGAGAGAAATACAATAGAGACTTAAGGGGAGGTGGTTTAATTCTGCTTCACTTGCATTTAGTTCTTGAGGGTTATGTTTCCTATTTCTTTTGGCTTTCCAGTTGTGCCTGACATTGTAGCATAAGGAAGGTTTATACAACTCTCGGAGCTTGTTCCCAAGTAATCTTTTAGAGACATGGATTTTTTAATTGATTTTTTTTCACAATCCTGTTAGAATAATAAAATGAAGGCAGCTATTCTTTACCTGAAGACATATCACCCTAGTGGCATTTGCCTTCAGATTAGGAACATAAAGCAGCAGGAGACTGATTAAAGCAAAATCTTGTTTCCTTGCAAATGTTACCACTGTCATGTCATTCTAAGTTCTGGTTTGTGTTGTTATTGACCTTGGGCGCTTCAGTGGTGCCTGAGTTAGAAAGAGAGATGGCTATTATTATTATTAATCAATACCTACAGAGGACATCTGGGACAAATTCTGATATATTCTGAAGGGACAATCAGGACTATTTGGAACAGAATGGATATTGGCAATATTACTTCCTGGGAAGGAAGGAAGGAAGCAAAGAGTGCCTAGCCTTCTATATCTAAATGTGATGTTGGTGCTGTAATAAGAGATCCTGAAGTCAAGATTTTTTTTTCCTTTTTTTTTTCCCACCTGGATGTCTTGTTTCGAGAAAATGATGTTATGTGACAGGGTTACAACTGAAGCTGATAAAAGGTATCATTCAGTTCAGAATTGCTTATTTTGGCACAAAAATAAAATAAAAATAGCTAATGCAATTTTAAAAAATCTTTTGGATTCAAAGGTAGGGGATAGGTAGCAATGACTGTGATTATGGGTTTTGAGATTTATAGCTCACTAGTTATTTACTCTCTAGGATGCTAGTGGGATCACAGAGCTACGTATTATTGGAATTTATGGGCAAATGGCAATGTAGCAACATGCTGAGTTGTTGGAAATTTCCATATTTGCTGTATTTTGACAGAAGACTCCGTGGAAAAGCATTTCCTAATTTGGTTTGGCTTCCTTGGTGCTAGCAGATTCCTTGTAAGTTTATGGAAAATAATTTTGTAGTTCCTGCTAGAATATGCAGAATGGCATGATGTGAGAATGTAAGAAGTTAGTATTTTTCATCTTCTGTAAGTGAGACTAAATATAGGCAGCTGGGGGGCAAATTAGGTGTCTGTGGAGGTGTGTTCACCAGAGATTCCAGAAATCCAATCCTGTTGTGCCACATGTTCTTTTTGAGACCTAGGAACACTAAGGCAATGTATGTTTCTATGAAGTAAAGGTAAATACACTTTTTGGAATGAATCCTGTTGAATCCTGTTCTTGGAATGAGTGCACAACAGAGTTTTGATTCATAAGCATTGGAGTACCTATCTGACCTAACAGTGCTTAGTCAGGGATGAGAGGGAAGGATATAAGCAACAAAACACATACATATTGCTTCTCCTTTTTATATTTGCCTCACCTTGAATTCTGAAAAAAATCAGGCATGTATAGGTGGTCAAAAAGCTAGACCATTGTTAATGAAAATATTGGAGCTGCTGTGTACTTTTTATCTATCCATTCTCACAGGATGAGGGAGTTACAGTAGGGTCACTGTTTAGATCCAAGACTCCATGCTGGTTTATACCCCAGATAACTTAATTTGGTAGAGTTAAGTAGGGAATTATATGCTGCCTAAATTACAGATACTTGCTATCCTTGTGTAGACTTGGTTTTTATTCATTACTGGATTCTACTCATGGCATGTTCTTACTCTTTCCTGATTTATAATGGATTCCTTTATTGAATTATTGAGCAAAACTTTTAAATAAAACATCAAAGAATTTTCGTCTACTATCAATTCTCCTATAGTCATAAGATATATCAACCCTTAGGACCACTTTCCTCATCAGAATACTGACACTGCTAGACTTATTCCTAAATGTGCTGTGCTCTAAAACGTTCATCCAATATAGACTTTTTTCTTCTAAAAGTGAAGTGATTTGCCTTATAAAATGCAGAATTAGATTACTTCTTGTACAAATATCTTCCACAGTAACTGTTTTGTTCTTTCTGGCCACCTTAGATGTGCAATAGTTTTATAGGTGAAGAAAAACAAGGTACTAGCAAAAAATACAGTTAAATTGCTTCTTAAAAGTACATCCATTACCAGAGTTGAGAAAAAGATTGGTGCTTGACTTGTAGCCCTTGGTCATCTTCATTTTTCTGCCTGTTACATACTGCTTTGCTTGGTCTAGAGAGCCACTCAATCCAGACTATGGAACTATGAATCGTGATTTTTTTTCTCAGCAATGCAGTTTGTGTGGAAATCAGAACTTGAGCTCAAGTCTTCTCATGGCCACTTGTGTAAACTCTGTGTTAATGTGTTTTTTGGTTTGTTTGTTTAATTTGTCTTCTTATTTGAATGCATTAAAACTGACTTTATGGTTCTGATTTCTGTTATACAATAACTTTATGCTACCTTTGAGCTTCTTGTCACGTCCATAGAACCAGTAAGTCTGGTTTTTTGCCTGGAGGGGACTAGCGTTTAGTTTGCACATAACAAAACAAAGAGAAGGCATAAAACACTGTTCAGTTATTCCAGAACCCCTAGAAATATTTTGTAGTGTAAGTATTATGCTTCAAGGACAGATGATATGAGGCTAGTGGGAACAGCATTCAATTTCTGAAAGTAAAGTATATGATTCACAGAAAATGAAATTTGAAACAGCTTGGCTTTTTTTATTTCTTTAATAAGTGAAATACCAAAAGGAATATGCATATTCATATTCAAATGTTTAATTTCTGTGGACGGTATTTAAATATATGTTTTTGTCACCTGGCTACTTTCTTAAAGTCTGGAATAGTCTTGCTAGGATATCTGAACTAGAAAACCCTTTTATTATGTCTTGTTGTCTAATATTTTACTCCCTCAAAAGGAAATCAACTGTACAAGCAGAAAAACTTATTAGGTGCTGATTTTAAAAAAGGGGGAAGGGACCAATTTTCACCACAAGCTAACACTTTTACTGGCAAGAGTTTTTTGTAGGCTTGGCCTGAGATGAGGAGGTTTTTTGTAGCTAAACATGATTTCAGTAAGTGCTTGGACAAAATTTAGAACAAGTGTAGGGCTACTAAAGTCAAAGACACCACCTCTAGAAGCCCCTAACCTACATTCAGGTGGAAGCTGGAAACAAGTTGAGGATATGATATAGCATTATCTCCTTGCCCTGTTCTTCTGCTCTTCCCTAGAATCTCCTACCAGTCCCTGACAGAAATAGGATACTGGCTAAGCAGTGCTTTGGTGTATGGCTTTAATCTGCTCTTAGTGCACCTTCTTGGAGTTGGCCCCACCTGTGTGTGTTTGGGCAACAGAAGGTCTTTCTTACTGCTTGGGCTTGTCAGTATGTTTGCAGCTGAAACTCTTTGAACTCTTGTAAATAACTGATTTTCCAACACCCTGCCCCCACCTTCACCCCCATTTAATACAAAAGTAAAGCAAGGGAATCAAAGGCAGTTCAAGATGTATTTACATACAAACTTCATTTGAATCCTGTGACAACCTACTTCCCTGACTGCTTCTCATACCAAATTCTAACAATAGGGTTTCTTTGCTTTATGATCTAAATTGTTTTACTTTTTGCCTTCAGGGACCTAGATATGTCTTTATAAATTAGGTTTTTATCTGTATCAGATGCTCCTGGCATTGCAGAGTCTCAAGTTTTCTATATTAATTATCTAATATTTCACATATGTAACATTTCAAAGATCTTTTTTATGCTTTAGTTTGCAGCATTTCTGTGAGGTACACTCCCAAAGACAGTTTCTTCTCCCAGTTTGCCCAGCTGACTGTAAATCTTTCTTTCCTTTGTTGATGAAATGTTAGTAAGCTGCTCTCAGGCACTTCTTAGCTTTCTATCAGTTACTGCTTCTTCCCTGAGCTGTTGAAAACTCCCAAATTATGCATCCGTAGTTCCTGCTTAATTTGCAAGAGCCATTAATTTCTGCCTTTAATTCCTATTCCAACTGGCAGTGGGGATTGTGGCAGTCCCAGGCTGTGCTGCAGTACTTGACACTTTAGATCCTTCTACTGAAACTTGAATGTCTTCAATTGCCATCAAAGATCTTTTCATCTGTGATAGGATGTTTAGGCCACTTACTAGGCTCCATCAGCATGCTGTTCTCTGATACAGAGCTAAATCATACAAAAGACAAATGAGAGAGGGGTTTTGTTATCTCTTTGCCATGGGATCTCCCAAACTTTGCCCAGGCCCACTTCTCCTGGTCTTGCACAAATAATGTAGCTCTGTAGTTAACAGTGGGTCAGAAGATTCTGTTACATTGTGGTTCAATGCTGTGATGCAACACTATTGTTTTATGCTGATAAAAGCTGTTCCCCACTCTGACTGTTTCATCACAGCTGGGCTTCTCAGCCCCATGAGGATTGCCGGCTTTGCAGCTTGGGCTACCACAGATCAGCTGGAGGTAGAGCCATGTTTTCCTGTATAAGTCTGAGGAGCCAGTTTATTTGCTACATTTTGTGGAACACTGTCTGACCACAAGAAAGGTAATGTTCTGTGTGGTAGTTGTGAGATGATTTGAGCACACTAATGTTTTCTGTACCCTAGAAGATAATCCAAGAGATGTGACTGCTCTCTAATTAAGCAGGAGAAAATGTCACAGCTACATACTGACTCGCTTTTTCTTCTCATATGCACTGTGCCCCATGCGGGCACAGTATTTAGGAACTGAGCATCAGATCTTTAATAAGATGTTCCAAAGTTATATCCTTTCCCTACACTTTCCTCAAGCCACCTCATTTCCACCCATTCGCAATCTGGACACAGTTTGATTCTGATTCAGAAATCAGTAAAAGACTGCCTCTCTTTTGTATTTGTGGAGATGAAATAAGAGTTCAGCAGGCAGCTCAGTGATCAAACATTTCTAAAAGCAAACCACTTGCAGAGGTGAGAGACAAAGGTGCTTCTGTCAGGGCTACAGGGAGGGATACCAGCAGGGAGAAGAGGAAGGGGAATGCTTGTCAGCCCCTATCTTCTTCCATACATGTGCTAGGAGATGAGAAAGCTCCTTGTCTTGTCAACATCATCAGAAGTCAGAAAGTGTTTGTGTGTGTGCACGTGTGTGTGCACTGCAAGGAATGCAAATATGATAGCAGAATTAAAAATTACAGCAAATCATAAACTGAATGTGATTTAACGATGATAACAACAACAACAAGCTACGTCCTTTTAGGGACTGCAACAAGAGGAAAGTTGTTAAGAGAACAGACAGTGCCCATTTCTGTGACGCATGATGTTATTCTTGGGGTTGTCCTGTGCAGAGCCAGGAGCTGGAGTTAATGATCCTTGTAGGTCCTTTCCAACTCAGGATATTCTAGGATATTTACCACTAGGTGCTATTGCTTAAGAAAGGAGAACAAAAGGGGAGAACAAGAACATGGCCTTAGGAAATATGATCTGTATTCCAGCACTTCATTAGAACAGGTTGCGTAGGGATGCTATATTTATTCTGTCAGCAGAGATTGTTTTTTTAAAGAAAACTGTGTATTAGATGTGATTTGATTTATTTTGTCTTGTAAGAGATGGATAAAAAAGACTTTTAATGATTCATCAAATTTACATGGAAACTAGATGTGATTTTATTTCACCTTTGTTCGGAAACTCCCCAGGTTAAAAATATTTTTGCACCCTGCTGTCAGTGGTGTTCCTGTGGGTTGTGGTCTGTGTAACTGGACATGTAGGTCAGATGGAGAATTTCACTTGCACTCTTAGAGGGATATAATGCCCCATTTTTCCCTCTACCACAATAGCAGAGAATTCTGTGATCATTGTCCAGCAGAGAAGTGATAATTAGGTAAAAAGAACCATGATAATGTGTTGTAGCACAAAGGGTTTTTACATGAGTACAGATGTATTGCTCCCGACCACTGAACCTATACTTCATGAAAATTATCATGCACTTGGTGTGAGGAGCACCTTCCTCATCTTATGCCATCTGTGCATGTGGACGAATATTACAGGAAACTCACTTGTACATCCACTTGTGAGTGTATCCTTCCTATTAAAAAAAAAAAGCCATTTTTAGATCGTATCTTGCAGTAGAAGATATTAGATTACAAGCAGACTACTGCTGAGATAATTCACTGTTTTCCATTGTATTTCTTGGGCTAGAGTTCTTGTTCCACCAAAATGCAGACACCAAAATACCAATATACTAACAAGATGGTATTCACAATATTTTCAATTTCAGGAAAGATTTTAACAAGTCTTTTTGTCTTAAAGTGCATGGTGAACATGAACATAACTATGAAAATCATACTGGTAGTGGTATGAAAGAAGAGGGGTTTATTTTCCCACATCAGTTGTCTTATGGATGATAGTGTGCACACTGTATTGATCTCTGACAGTGGGAAGGTAGAATAACCATAGGAGAGATCACCACTCTTTCATCTGCTTAGAGGTAATTGTATATATAATAAGCTAGGATCTTTTAGCATAAACAAGACCTCTGCATAAGGATATTAAAGAGGTATATACCAAAAAGTGTGCTGATTTTGGCTGCAATGGACTTAATTTTGTTCACAGTAGCTGATATGGGGCTGTGATTTAGATTTGTGCTGAAAACAGTGTTGATAACAGAGGGATGTTTTCATTGTCACTGAGCAGCACTTACATAAGGCCTTTTCTGGTCCACATCCCACCCCTCCAGTGAGGAGGCTGGGGGGGCACAGTGGGTTGGGAGGGGACACAACTGGGATAGCTGACTCCAGCTGACCAAAGGGATATTCCATACCATTATGGTGTCATGCTCCACATATACAGTAGGGGAAGAAGGAAGGGGCAGATGTTCAGAGTTTTGGCATTTGTCTTCCCCAGTCACTGTTATGCGTGATGGAGCCCTGCTATCCTGGGGATGGCTGAACACCTGCCAGCCCATGGGAAGGGCTGAATTAATTCCTTCTTTTGCCTTCCTTTTGTGTGTGGCTTTTGTTTTCCCTATGAAACTGTCTCTATCTCAACCCACAACTTTTCTCACTTTTACCCTTCCAATTCTCTCCCCAATCCTGGGGGTGGGGAGTGAGCAAGTGCCTGTGTGGGGCTTGGTTGCTGGCTGGGGTTAAACCATGACAGAAGAATAATGAACATCATGTAAGAACTAGGGACTAGTAGGTAAAATGGTCTAGCAGTGAGTTTATAAGTACAGGGGGATACAAGGCAAAATTAAACTGTGGAAGTCGTTGTAAGGTGCTTTGGGTGCAGCAAACGTGTACTTCAGGGGAAAATTCATAGGAGAAGGGGGTCCATCAAAGGCTACTAAACAAGATGATGTAGATTTAAAGTTCAGGCTCAGAGATTTTAACACTGTAGCATGGAGACAATAGCAATCTATCCTTACCATGTTGTTATATTCTTTTCCTGCTGGGCTAGATGAACTTTTGGCTTGTCCTGGCATAGTACTACTGTTCTTGTATTAGTGAATGTGGCTTTGCAAATATATGCCAAACTCACTAACATATCTGTCTTTATACATTCCCCTAAATAATGTAGTTGTTACCTTTTGTCTTCATGGAGTTTTGTACAAAATAATACAAAGCAGAATAGTCACTCTCTCAGTATCTCTTCCTGGATACTATGTAAATTAAAAGTAGGCTCTTGTGACAGATCAAAGAATTAAAAGCAAATGTGTGGTCAAGTGAACATAGGTTATCTTCATATTGGGGAATAACCATTTTAATCATCTTCATGATTGTTTTCTTGCACTCAGAGCCTAAGATTCTTCACTGTCTTCATCCTTAGGATGAAGGATTCTCTGTTTAAATATTTGAATCCATGGCACGGAGGTAACCTTCACCTCTATGCAAGTGTGTTTGGAAAATGTGCAATGCTTTGCAGAAGACTTAGTACTTTTCCAATATATGGTCATCATTGATTAGTTAAACCACTATCAGGTAACTATTGCAGAGGCATGATATTAGAAGTCTCCAGCAGTGACCTCTCTCTGGGTTGATATTGAACACGGGCAGGCATCGTCTCAATCTACCGATGCAGTATTAACTGAAACTCCTGCAGTCTCACTTCTCTTAGCTATACCGTATTTTGCACTACATGAGGCATTCCTGTGATAATGTATTCTGTGCATCATCCCTTTCACCTCTGCAGGCAGTATTTGACATCTGAGGGTGCTGCTAGGTGGCTGCAGTTGGTGGGAGGGCAGAGGAAATGAAGGGAGGAAACTGCTGTCCCTCTTTGCATCCATTCCTTCCTCTGGGCATCTTTACTTGATTCCCTCCTCACTGTCCCCCTGAAGGAACCTGATTGGATAGAGGCCTTTTAGCTTTTCTTGATGTAAAGTAGGGAAGGTGAAAGGGAGCAGAGAGAAGGGGTGGAGATGAATATGGCAGAAGACAACAGTAAGGTGTATACTGAAAATGTAATGCTTTAATTTGTTAATGACAGGATGTCGTGAACTCTTTAAACAGGTTTTGCTGTTTATAGGTTTGCTGAGATTTCATTGAGAGGGGGATACTTAAATCCTGATTAAATCCTGTAATACTGTGAGGGAAGAAAAGCTTTCTTTTTTTCAGCCAGAAAGATATGCAATCTGAGAGAGAACAATTGCTTGCTTTCTTGCTAGGAAAGGTCTTCACTTTCTGCATTTCCTAACTCTCTGCACTTTAAAAGGTAAAGAGCAAAATCAGTTTAACCCGCTAGAATCTAAGGAACAATCATATTTCAAACAATTACCATAAATTTGTTAAGCTTCTTTCCTCCCTTCCCCCAAATCTCAATATGGCAGATGACCAAAATGCCACAGGTACCCCACACTTCCTTCACTTGTCAAAAATTCTTGTGACTCATTTCCCATTCTGGCTAGATTGCTGTTAGAAGGTGTGTGCAGTCTTCTAATTTATAGTTAACAGGTCTATTATCTTTCTAATCCCAATTGTCGTGCAATAACAATTCCTCATGTGGGTTCAGCTGGGTACCACAAATAATTTCTCATAAGTTTACCGACATTAAGAAACATATCTTAAGGAATGAAAGCTTATTATAATAATTGTTTGCAGGTGTTAAATGAAAAGCATTATAGAAATATATATAACATTCTATTAAACCAGAGTCTCATAATAAGGGATGCATAGTGATAAAGAAGCCTACATATTACACAACTCAGAAATTAATTTCTTAGTCTTCCATCATTCAAGGAAATCACATTCCAATCAGTCAAGTGACATGAATTTTCATACTTACAGTAATCTCCTGTATGGACAGTATATCAAAAATAGTTCCCTGAAGAATAAGGCTAATTTTCTAACCCAGTCAACCCTCACTTTGAAGTCTGGATTGGGATGGTGATGGAAAATTTTCTGCAAAGGTTGAAGTAGTGAGCCTTAAAGCATTCTTTATTCTTCCAGTATAATGATGGCAAATCTACCCTCTCTCATTTCAACCTTTGAATAAGTCCCTAAAGCAGAAATCAACAGTTTCACCTTGCTGTGCTTGACTCTTTCAGTGCCTTTCTCTTCTAGATCTTTTGCAACTGCCATTAATTCTACATGACATCCTATTTCAAGCTTTTGATTAATCTTACAGAAGTGAAACTGTTAGCAAGGTCTTTCAATCACAGAAGCACATTTCTTTTGCATACATAACAGGCTCTTGTAGAGTTGCTTAATGAATTATATCCAAGGTTTGTAAAGGAGAGGTATGCTGGTTTGGGCAGTCCCTGCAATACTGAAAAGCTGGGAATATTCCCTTTTGCGGAAGGAGGTCCTATTCAGAAGGCTGGAGATGGCTATGCCTTTTTCCCTTGTGAGGGGCTCTGCAGCCCCTTCCTGGCTCTTCTGAAGGTGCTGATGCTCACCTCCTACTGCTGTGCTCAGCCCAGCTTTGCCTTGCTGTGCCAGCCCTGGTGCACCAGTGCTGTGAAACCATCTGCAGTGGCTGCACTGCTGGGGTGTCCTCACTGCCCGTGCTGGGGAGGGCGGATCAGAAGAGGTGATATGGCCTTTTGTGTGAAACCTTAGGCTCTACCAATACAAATAATATTTTTTGTCAAAGTACACTTAAATGCAGACTTAAGTCAGTATGGATAGCAGCAGTATGGATTGTGTTTTTTTCTTGGTGTTTCAATGGTTTCACTGAAGAGCACATTGGATATGCAAACCCCAAAGAACCTCCAGCACATAGAGAAATGTGTTCTTAGATGGGTAAGAAAACACTAACACTTACAACTTCCAGTTCAAGCAATAATGTGGAAAGCAAAGGATTGAATGAATTAACTCGCTTGTATTAAGATGCTAAAGACACTACCTTGCCAGCTTCTGACAGTAGCTATGTTTCACTGGCTGTAACTAAGATTGTCATAGAAAATCTGTACACTAGCTCTTATTGCCATCTTTTTCATATATATCTATAAAATTGGAATCTAAAATTGAGAGACCTGTGAATGACTCATGACGGTACTTGACATTTAAATGAGCAACAAAAAATATTTAGGGAACTCCATGACTATCTTCAGATTAGAGAAAATAATGGTAGTATCTGGGGAATGCTATTGGAGATCATTGCACTTCACAGATGAGCACACTTTTGGAGCATTGAAGGAGAATAAACAAGCCACAAAATGAACATGATTATGCTTTATGAAGGAACTGAAAGTATAGGAAAGTGCCAGTCTCATAATACTGCTTTTGTGGTATTAAATTACCTAATCAGATCCCAAAGTCCTGCACCTGATATTTTTTCCTCTTATGCTGACCACAAAACATTGGGATAATTGTGTGGGCTGCTGAGCTGTGTAAAGACAACAATTCCCTACTACTCTTTCCAGCTGGTAAAGTATTAGTGTATCCATCTCTCACCATGGAGGTTCCCAGAAGAGTTAGTGTAGCTTTTGAGGGACTATGTAATACTTGTAATGAGATTCAAAATCCTTGTATTCAACCTGAAATGGTTTTATGGGGAGTAAAAATTTAATGCACTTAACTGCATAAAATGATATGCATGCTGACCACTCCTATTCCCCTTCAGTGTAGTGAAAATCAATTTGCAAAATGATGCTTGGAGCTAGTTTGAATGAATTACGTGATCTCCAATGCTTTAAAAAATATTCCTGAGCCTGTAGGAACCTGATCGTGACCTGTGCTATATTCTTCACAGGCATTGTCTGTAACATGAGGTACGAAAGCTCAATGTCTCACAGAACTGGCTGCTGAAACAGTCATATGGCAACAGGAGCAAGCGCAAAGATGTACCACTGTGTGTGTCTGTGACAAGTGCCTGGCTTCAGGGGGGCTGATGCTCTGGAGAGTCTCTGCTGGCCTGCATGAGTGACCAGAAGACTCTCTTCTCTGCACCTCAGTTCCTACAGGTTCAGATTGATTTAGGTGCATACGCCTCTGTAGGGTGGTATTGCTGTATGTTACATACATCAGGCTTTAAAATCTATAGGAAAAAAGAATACAAAAATACTTGCTCTAAACCCACTCAAAACCCCCTCTAAATTGATTCTCACCTTCCTTACTTGAAAGCACACTGGTCAGTGATAGCTGTACCTGCTCTTCCTTTTCTTCTTGACAAGCTTGTGTTGGACAAGCACAGTCCTTGCTGCAGAGGCTGGCAAGGCGAGCAGGGAGACGAGAAGGGGCAGAGCTGTCCTGGGGCAGCTCGCTTGTGCGTGGGCCCCGGCTCTGGCTCCAGAGGTCCCTGGCAGGCAGCTT